GATACACTTGCCATCATCCAAATTCATCTATATTTAGCTGGAATTTCACGTATAGTAAATAACCTTTTCCCCTTATTTTGGATAGGAAGAAGATTGTACATCTGATAGAATATTGAGCAAAAGGGAGCTTTTGGAGAGCCAAATGCCAACTCTGAAAAGCTTGGGTTTGAGCCCCTCGCAATCTTCATAAGGCTCTTTCGGAAAAGCCTTAGCAAACATCCGTTACAAACCTCAGCATAGGGTCGTGTTGCTTTGATTTTCCTTACATTAAATAAAAGAAATATTGTAATATTGTTAACTGTTAACTAGTTTGCTCGCGATAACTTGTTAATATTGTATTTTGAACCGATAGGCCGTCCGTCAAAGTGCTTGCTATGCATCTTACCAAGAACCCGAATTGTAACTGTCTCCTTATTCTTATGGTGGAGATTTAGACTAGTTAGAAGTGCCAAACGTAAAACGTTACAGGCAATGGACTTTCGCTGCAAAATTAACAAGTCACCCCCAGCAGCTTAGCGCAACTGTTCAAAAGTGACGGTGAGAAAATTCCCATGGAAGTTTTGCCAGGCGATTTACAAGGACGCATCTCCAAGGTAAAATACCCCATGCCCGTGGCCGTCTCCACTACTGCATCCCAATACAGCACTGCAAACATCATAACTGTCATTGCTCGATCAACTATTACATGTGTTAATTCTTTACAAGTTTTCATGTCGCAAATACATGGAATCATTCAACAGGCGAGGTGCAATTATCTCCCTTTTATATCATCTGATGTCAATGATGATTAAGCCATTCCCTGAGAAACCCAAGATTTTTTTTTACGCATAATCTAACCGGTCGTTCTATATTAGTGCGTTTTGTATCAGTTGTGAAAAATGATCTTGAATTAAAAACAGTTTTCCCGTTTTTAAAGATTAGAAAACTTAGCTTTGCAGAAGCAAGCTTCAACTTGCGTTTAAAAAAAGAATTGATTGGCCCTCATCATAGGATAGCCCACGAGAAAGAGGAAAGACAGCCGAAGCAAACTCACCAGGTCGTCCTATGCGATAAGATGGCATCTGAAATGCCAGACTGAGGGGACACTGATTCTGCAAAATGACTTAAAACATTCTAACGAATCAAATCCATAAATTGAAACTTTACATCACAAATTTCCCTTTCACCTCAATGCTGAGGCAGAGGTGGGTTTTTCCAACAACTCATATTGAACGACAAAATTATCCTGCAATAACGATGCACAGTTAGTAACCTAAAACATAACAAATCCAAACGTATGAAACCTTCCACACAAAAAATGGCGGGTGTTTTGATGGATACAGTACATATTTACAAAATCTAACCTTACGAATTATTTCAAATGTGTTCGGATCAAAGCAGTGATAAGATCCCCTCTCATACGTGTTTGTTTTAACAAGTGGCTCCATGTTGGGAACTCTTAAAAACCATAGGTGATGTTCTTTGTGATAGAACCATCCTCTATTGTAACTGTGAACAAAAAACTGAACCAGTTAGTAATAACTAGATACAAGGAAAAAGAAAATCAGAAATAGTCCAAAATATATGGCAAAAAAATGCGCAGGTGAAAATCTGCATACAGCTCATTTGCGGCGTATAATTGAGCTTCGTCTTTGGGCATGCTGCAAGAATGACAATAATTAGGACCAATTTATAATGTCCCACAAGTTCAAGGCAGACAAGATTTGACTTTTGAAAGGCACCTGTAAAATATGTAAAACAATGTTTCCGCTGTAAACTTTGAAAAATAGCCTTGCTGCATGATCCAGAAAAACATAGTCTAAGGCTAAAAGAAAGGAAGAAGAGAAGGAACCAAAAACTTAATAAGACATCATAAAGAGCATCTCACGTGCAGGGCAGGTGGCTGTTTAGCATAATAACATTGTGGCACTGTAAACTCTGGATCTCCCTGAGCCGGCTCATCAGACCATGGAGATCCGAAAGTCTTGTGGAGATTTTCTGATGAATTTAAATTTAATCCAAGTGTTGTAAGATCAATTCCAAGTGCAAGAGATGTCAAATCAGGATCACTCATCCTGATCACACTCAACAAGCCAAGCAAACCAAATGGATCCGGTGTTGATTGGGATGTTTGCATGGATTTCATGCCTTGATCCCTGAAAGATTGATTTGCAGCTGACATTTGTTGAAGACGAAACTGTGACTGGGACTGGTTCTGGTGCTGTTGGTATTGCTGGATAAGCTGGTCATATGATCCCATACCAGAAACAGTATTTGGAGAATTTAGAGGCCTTAACCCAATGCCAGAAGGTCCACTGGTCTACAAATGATTGAAAAAATTAAAATAACATGTGCTTCAATGCTTTAGTACAGACATATGGTAAACATATTAGCTTAAACACCTCACACCCAAAAACAAGCTATACTTGAACAGAAAGAGCACCTTAAAATAAATAAAAAAAGCCATCAGTTACATTAACAACAAAACCAATCAGCAGAAAAACTAGCAGACCTGGGAACTATAGGTTGAATGTGATGCAGGAAACATATCTGACCCATGAAGATGGAGAAGTTCCTGATTGTTTGCAGATGAAAAGGGGACACCAACACTACTGACAGATGGACCATGCTGTTGTTGCTGTGATCGGTGTGCTGAATATGTACCCCCTAAACTGAAGCCAGAAGACCTTCCCATCTGCATATTAAGAGCAGTTAAAATAAAGAAAGGTTCTTGATTTAAGATCCTAAAACCAGGATATGTAACTGTAAACACAATTCCTTAATATATATATATATATATATATATATCAATCAGAAGTCAACTCACAGGAAAATGCTGAGATTGCATCATGGACACAGCATTCTCATGTTGTTCTTTCTGGTGCATATCCATAGCATAATCTGCATTGCCACCTGGACACATATAATCAAAAACAAATGCTGACGCAAATGAGCAATCTCCACTCACTGCAAGTGTGCACAGAGGTTCCAGAAAACTCCTGACAGTAACAACAAATGCAACCAAATAGATCACGCATCTAAACCAAATATTGTACCTTTAAATCCTGGTAAAGCTGGGAAATCTTCATTTTGAATGCTAAACTCTTGGTTTTGTTGGACAATGGGACTAACCCCAAGACCCTGTTTTCGCAAGGAACCTGAAATTTTTGGCTATAGGATTATTGCAGGAGGAAGTGAATGAGTATAACAAGCAGAAGAACATCTTCATTCTCATACCCAGCTGTCCTTGGGGCCCTCCAGCAGAATTGGGTCGACTTGTCAATTGAGGGAAGTCATTGATGTCAAAAGGGGAGTTGTCATTCGAATTCATATCATTTAACATCCCCATTGAGTTTAAATTATTTACTGCTTGAACATGGCTTTGAGCAAGGGGTCCTCCAGCACCAGGATAAGAATTTCCTAGCACTGAAATAACTTGAGGTGATCCTGCACAAAGAAGCCACTGTTTGTGTCACCAGAAAGTAGCATATATCTTATCTAAATAAAATCAATTCAACATATGAGAAGTCCTCAGCATACAGTAAACACAAAATTTAATCACGTCATGCATATATACTAATGCAACAAGCAGTTTTAAAACTGGTACTTTAAGCACTTCTTTTTTATAATAGAAAAGTTTAGGCAGGTTAGATTTTAGGTTCAAGGGTTAAAGTAGGCCTCAAGGCTCGGAAAGTATTTACACAGGTAATTACAGATTACCTACTAACAAATACTCACTCAGCAAAGATACTTTAAACACATTTACCACCATAGCAAGATATAACATCAAGACATCACGAGAAATTGTTTTGAGTTCCGTAGAACTATGAGACTGGAATATGGATATGCTATCTCTATAAGGGGAGATTTGGGGATAAATGAAACCTAATACAAGACAATTCAGCATCCACACATCCCTTCTAATAGTAGATAGACGAAGACAAGCAGCATGCATCAAGGATATATGATTGCCTATGCTATGAATAAAAACCTCAGACCCGTGACAGAAATGAAATGAAACACAAAAAGGGCCGTCAGAGAGAGAACAAAATTATGTCCAATGACCAAGGCTGGTGACTCAAGAAAACATTTAAATAAATTTCCAAGTGACTAATTCTTAATTACAGAAACTAATTATCATTCAGTAATAAATTAATGGCCCACATGAAAAGGGTTTAAAGCCGATTGCCACAGGACATTTTAGGAGGAAATGAACATAAACAATTAAGGTAACAAATGCATACCCTGTGGAAGCATACCACTCAGCAACCGATTCTGTCCTTGGACACTTAAACCACCAGATCCACTGTTTGCACTTAAATTTAGACGAGATGCAAGACCAGGCACAGATAATCCTCCAGCAGAGCTAATGCTCCTCCCAATGTTCCCTCCACCAACGATGTTCCCCATAGAACTAGTAATTCGAGAACCTACATTTCCCAAAATTGGGGATACTCCCAATCCTGGAACAGCGTTTCTGTTACCAATTGCAGCAGATGTTGGAAGAATCCCAGGAATAGAACCGCCAACTCCATTTGTGCTACTGCTAAATCCAGGGTTTCCTACAACACTTATACCTCCTCTGTTTGTTACTCCTGAATGTCCATGAGAGCTTCCATGAGTTAGCTGCAAATGATTGAAAGAATAAATAAATAAATAAATAATGCAACTGAGAACAAATAATTACAAAGAGGAAAATATATGCTCAAAAAATCAGTCAATGAAATACTCTCAAAATAAAACCAAGCATAAACATATGCACAAATACCTGAGACAAAGCAACAGGAAGATTATTTGATGCAAATCTTCCACTAGAAAGACTTCCAGTAGGCTGTTGAACCCCTCCAGACGGAATGCTATTTATTGTTGAATTTCTTGATGCAAGGGCACCTGGCATGTTGGGAACATTAAAGCTGCTGTGGATGTTGTGCAATCCCTGGATAGCCCCTGCGGCAAGAACCTACCAATTTTACAACTAGATAGGGGGATGGAACTGATAAACTTGAGCAAGATCTGCTCACCACTATGATGGAAAACTGGGGAGGCAGCACCAGACTGGCCAGAGAATGACGTGGCAAATGACCTCCCAGCACTATCGGGAAGATTTGAAGCAGATCCGTTCAGAGAAGACTGCAAGGATATTAATATTATAATTTAAATTGATAGTCAAGATATGACCAAAGTAAAAGCAGCTAGGAGCAAATTTACAACATTCAAGACAACACAAAAGTTACAATGAGATTTTGCTCATTATGTGGATGAACACAGTATCTATAAAGAACAAAATCTCCAACAAAGGAGTTAATTACTTTTAGATACAGAGTTTCCTGAATCATGGCCTTTGAAATCATGGAAAGAAACATCCTAAAAAAGGAAGAATAATTGACCTCCAAATGAAAAAAGCGTCGATGATGAATATAAAGCACTCATGAATTCCCCCATTCGTTCTGGAAAACCTTCCTATTTCCCTAATTTCAGATAAGCTCAATTCTATATCGATTCTACTTTATTTTGGTTAGTTCCACATCAATATCTTACTCTAAACTCTGTTTAAGAAAAAACTACTAACAAGTAACAATCATTATTTCCATAAATCTGGAGCCCAAAGCAACATGAGATATCCAGAAGACACATTGCATTACTTATTTTAAAAGAATTTTAATGCATCATGCCATAATGCTTCAACACAATATCTAGTTCACAAATAATGTCCGGGAGCCTAAATTGAATGTCATATTAAAATTGTGATGGCAAAAGTAGTGGTGAGGTACATGGCCCAATATGAGCTAGCTACTTCAATCTAACAAGAGATTAGCTTTCAATGAAAATATTTCAAAATTCAAACAACATATATCTACCAACACAAGCAAACTATTTGTGATGACAGACAGTTCAACAATTTGGTAGCATGAAATACAAAAGAGTGAAAACCATTCCAGTGATTGCTAACCATTTTTGAAGGAAAAACAAAAACAAAAACAAAAGTTCGAAAGACGAAGAAATACATTAAGTAAACCCGACATTGCATGAATTTCAAAAGGTCATGCAAAAAGTCATCCCTTTGCGGAAAAAGATCCTGCTTGTCTTTAGAGTCAGTGCACTATGTACAGAGCTTTTTCTCTGAACTCAACAACCTGCAAAGAATAGTGTCATCATAAGAGAACGTACTAGACAGTAGACATCACATTATATAACAGAAAGGACCCAGTTTCTACATAATAATGGGCCTTAAAAGCAGAAAGCAGAGCAGAGATGAAGAGAAGTGTAAAAGCAAAACGCAATAATTCCCAAAATAAGAATCTTATCCGCTTTTTAAACTACAGAACCTTAGGAGCTCTACAGAATATGCCATTTAAATATTTAATCCCTCCAAACCAAAAAGATGTCACCATGCAAAGCTGAACCACTTGGCTCCATAATTAGTATAAAAACATACAAGGTTATAGAACATATTAAGGATAATACGCTTCAGGCAAAATTTGCAGTTTGACTTGGCTGGTCAACATGTATTTTTCTTGCCTTGAGCATTTACAAACTCAAAGCACAACATTTGAATTAACCAGACACTTTTTTCCCTCCACAAAAGATAAAGTACGACGAATACACTACATAATCTATTCTTGCTGTAGATTTTACATTTATCTTGTATATTGATGATTAGCAAGTTGAACTCATTCATTCCGACGTGTTATCATTGACGAAAAATTATCGCGATGAGAACACGTAGTCGATAATACTGATGAAGCAAGGCACAGGAATTACATAAAGAAATCACATAACAAGTATGCTCGAACAGCAATTTAACGCCAATGATCCAGATGATCCAATTCAGATCGAATGAGTTCTTTATGAGAGAGGTGCGAAATCAAAATTATTCTTAGCCAATGATCCAATTCCATGTTTCTTGGTTCTTTCATAATTAAAACAAACTAAATAAATAATTCACACAGTCATAGCACCATTTTTTACGTAAAGTTTCGCTTGAGTCATTAGAATAGTATTAACAAGTTACTTAAAATTTTAGTCATGAGAACTTCACCGCGATAGATAAGCCTATAAGCAGCCCAATAATATAAGTGCAAGGCTGCTCTTCTAACTAAAAATTCACATCTAATACAGAACCACATAAAATACTTCCCCAAAACCCTAATCGCAATCCTAATACATCTCAGTATTGGGTAAAAAATATTTGAAAGAAAATGACGCCCAAGGATGCCATAAAGCATCGAATCAAAGGAGTGCGGAGGCGAAAAGGGAGGAGAGTGTGAGGGAGAACGTGCCTGAAGAGCGGATCGGCGATGAAGAAAGAAGTAAGCGAAGTCTAAAAGAGTAGCGTCGGAGTCAAGAGAGCGAAACGGGCAATGAGTGCCCTAAAAATCCACACAACAAGGCAAGAGCTCAACTCCGAGGGAGCACCGGGAAAATGCTTCTGGAACGACCAGCGTAAAATGCACCACTAGGATTCAGATCCCCTGCCGTGATTTCTATGCTGGGGCTGACAAGGAGATTAATCATATCCGTAAGATCTATCTGATGGTTAAGATGAGAGTGGTGTATAACTTTTTATTTGGGAAAATGGCATTAAAGTGTCACACAAGCATAAATATAGCAAAAAGGTCCCCTAAAATCTCGTAATGTTTCTGAAGCCCCAAAGGGACTTGTATACAATTTTCAGAATCATCAAATGACACTCTTACCCTAACTATCAGAAACAAAGACGGGTGAGGAGTTTTCCATGCAATATAGTTGAGAGAGAAGATGTTGGGAAAGAGGGAAGGAGCCATTAATCATGAAGTATCTTCTCCATTACCATTAGTGAACTCCAAAGAGCTTCCATGTGAATCTTCATAAATCTTCAGGTGTGGAACTTTCTTTCCTCTCCTCTCCTACCTTTCTTGACAGATTGTGCATTTGTTTGAGAATGGGAAATCAGAAAATCATTTTTGCCTTTGGTACTGTAAAGCTTTTGTTTTTGGTCTAGGATTCACAAGTTAATCAATGGAGAAGCTGTGTTTTTTGGTTTGTGTGTGTTGGTGATTTAAGTTGGGTGTGTAGGATGATCATGGGTGCTCTGTTTTTGGGTTGCTTGTGGGTGGTTTTGCTCTGTTCTGACGTTAGTTTAGTGGCAAAGGAAGAAGAAGATGAAGTTAGTGTGGGTAGAAACCCTTAGCACAAATGGGATATTGTGTTGTCAATCAGGCCACGATAGTTGTCAATGTGTGCCGCGACACTTGTCAATATAGCTCCTTGACTTGTCAATGACAGTTGTGTGATTCTTGATGCAGGTTTAAATTACTGATGGCGGGTACATCTGTAAAGCATCTATTTTGCTTTGTTTACATGGGGAAAGTTTATAAATGATGGAGAAGATGATATGAGATACGTGGGAGGTAGTGTGAGAACAACAAATGTAAAGGAGGGCACAAGTTATGAAGAATTGAAGGAAATAATATCATCAATTGCTGGAAACAACTCATTTCTTTTGAAATTCTCAGTTGTGTTTGATAAAAAAACTTTTATGGAGTTGATAGATGATGATGATGGGGTAGAACATTTGATAAAGTTCAATGAAGAAAATGGTCATGTGTATGTAGAAGAGAATGGAAATAAGGAACACATAGAAACAACAAGGGATAATACACTGGAGGAACAAGATGTGTAAGTTTAGTTTAACAAAACTGTTATTGTCATTTCTTGGTATGTCAGTTGTTACTGTCTTACTACTAACTTGTCAATGCATGCACCATGACTTGTAATTTCCTGCAGGATTGATCAATCATTTGGAGGTGTCAATAATTGTTTATGTCTTCACCTACCTTATTTGATATGATTGGAGAGCCATCATCAATTCCTTATGCTGTTGAAATGATCCCAACACCTACACCACAAATAAATTCCACGGAAGGATTTGATTATTGAAGAAGAACAAATATTTCCAAATGCCACTGCTCTCCGAAAAACACTATACAAGACATGCAAGAACCCAAATCCCAGCTGAGAACATATTGAAGTCAGCTATTTTTTGTACATGGATGTGAAGAGAATATTTTGTAAATGGGTGTGAAGGAATTTTTTTGTAAATAGATACACACCACTGATTAATTTTGTAATTACACGCAACCCCTATGTTTTTTTTTTGGGATGGGTTGTGAAATAGGTATAGTTTCATATACATGAAGGTGTAAATGAAAGTTTACTATGAATTGGCATGTTAGATTCTGCTGTCAGTTCAGTTGTCATTACCTGCACCCTGCGTTGTCATTAGACCTGTTATGACTTGTCAATCATTGCACTATGACTTGTCAATAAATTTGCTGATGTAAATTGTCAATAATATGAATTCAAGTAACATAACTTTTTTTACCATCAAATGATATTTTCAATCACTCTGTCATATCATATTTTAGTTATATTGTCATATATAATCATTATTAATGAAGTGTCAAAAACTTACCTCTTCCTGTCCCCTGTCAATGGTAGCATTGTAACTTGTCAATAGTAGCACACTGACTTGTCAATAGAACTTTGTGTCTTGTTAATGAGAACATTGTCCCTTCTCAATGGTGGCACTATGACTTGTCAATAGAGTATTGTGACTTGTTAGTGAGAACACTATCCCTTGTCAATGGTCGCACTATGACTTGTCAATAGAGCACTGTGACTTGTTAGTGAGAACACTTCTTTGTCGATGGTCGCACTATGACTTGTCAATTGAGCACTGTAACTTGTTAGTGAGAACACTATCCCCTGTCAATGGTTGCACTATGACTTGTCAATGACTTATCAATGGAGCACTGGAACATTATTTATATGGACACCTTTAGTTGTGAAAATTTTGAATATCAATTGTTAATATCCACACATTCATTTGTTATGAAATTCTTATATCACTTGTCATTAAATTAGAATATTTTATAAAACACTATCTCTTAATATCTCTGCACATATAAAATAGAAATGTAATTAAAAATGTAATAAACCCTAAGAAATTAGTATTACAACATGTGATGACAAAGGTAATAATATTATAAACATAATTTGATCAGTTTGTTACAAAATGACCTATTTGCTAATCATCTTACAACACATATTATGGGCTAAC